TCCTAAGTGGTCGTTCCTTATTCCAATCTGTAAAAGAAAGATTAATCCGATTAAAACTTTACCATGTAATTGAATCGAAGGATGACGCATTACTCCTACAACATCTCTCCCATGTTCAACATGTTACATCATGTGCTCGATCGTCGATGGATATAATCGTTGCAGATACGGGGTTAGCCAAAAGTAGTATATTTTTTTATTTGAAATAATTTTTCCTCTTCTTGATCCTCGATGAAAACTTCGATATCGAGTATGTTAACAAAATCTGCATTTATCTAATTCATTATCTTCCTTTAAATAAATCACACACCCGTTATGACAACAATGATTTTTTTCTAGCAATGAACTCATCCCATTCACCAGACTTCTTTATTTCATAAAAGTTATTTGTCATACGGTTATCAACCAGGCATCAACTCCTTTATCGACTCACATAACTCGTCAAAACACTTTTTTGGAAAATAATATTCGGCTTTTAGGTTAAGTATTTGAGTAATTGCCGACAATTACGAATGTTCATCACAACCGAGCCAAATCTCTCTACGCAATGCATTCAACATATCATAAAAGTGTTATCGTTAGGATTAGAAACCTCCTCCGTGTTGGACGAATCAAAGGATGGGTCAGCTACATCCATTACCATACTTTGATATAGGTTTTGGGTTCACTAGAACTACCTTCGCTTATATAATAATTTCCCGAAACCCGCCGACTCCTAGAATTTTCGGATGTAATATAGGCTTTAAATTCACCATGATACACCTAATTATAATGTCCTAGCACAAAACCTTTATGGCACAAATGATATTTAATCGTGTCAATCTCTTCATAATTTCGATTTCGACACTTACCGAAATTACAAGAACACCTAATTTTGGTTCCGTCCATACATTTAGGATGCTCAATAGCAAAAGCTAAAAATTGTTCTACACCTCCGACAAATTCATCATTTAACAATCTGTTAACTAATCTAAAATTCATCCATTATCGATCGGGTCTTATTTTCTAAATTACTGCAAAAATAACAAAACCATTGTAAACAATTACTTATCATCATGCCGAATTATTTTAAACAAATATTAAGCACATATATTAGTTGTATAATTATCTCTAATTAGTTATGAATTTTGTTTAAGAATTTAACTTCCTATTTAAATCATTATTTAAAGAATGATTATATTTTTTTAATAAATACTTAATTTGTTAATATTCAACTATTTTTTGTCGAATTTTTTAATATTTTCTACCTTAGGTCCAATATATAATAATGTTAACTTAACCTAAACAAAACAATTAACCTAATTTAAACTACCTTAGGTAATTTAACGTAATTACATTATCATTTTCACTTAAAATACATAAAATTTTATACTTTTTGAATCAAAAAATGTTAAATTACATGATCACCTAAATAATTTATGAAAACATTCAACTAAAATATTTATTTAATTCTATTAATTAATAAAATATTTATAAATTTTTAACATTTTTAAAGTAATTTAAGGTAATTACATTATCATTTTCACTTAAAATACATGAATTTTATACTTTTTGAACCAAAAAACGTTAAATTACATTATCACTTAAATAACTTATGAAAACATTCAACTAAAATATTTATTTTATTTTATTAATTAATAAAATATTTTTAACACTTTTAAAGTAATTTAAGGTAATTACATTAACATTTTCACGTAAAATACATGAAATTTTATACTTTTTAAACCTAAAAATGTTAAATTACATTATAACCTAAATAATTTTTTAAAATATTCAACTAAAATATTTATTTAATCCTATTAATTAATAAAATATTTATAAACTTTTAACGTTTATTTTAATTTTTTAATTACATTTTCATTCAACTCGTTTTTCAAACCAATCAAATCATTATGCATGTTATCTTATTTCAATTTTAATAATTAAACTAATAAAATTTACATTCAAAATGACTAAACTACGTCAAAAATTATATAAGTTTAACCAAATTTAACTAAACTAAGTCAAAAATAATATAATTTCAAAATTAAGTTTAAACAAACAACTAACCAAATTAACCTATAACACTAAAAACAAATAAATATATAATTAATTCAATTAATTAAATTAACAATTTAAGATTAAATAATTAAATTTTAATCTAACAACTCAAAATTAACAAAATTTAAATTTTTAAGCTTTATATTAATGTACAAATTAACCTAACAATTAAAATAACAACAAAATAAAACTTAGCAAAACAAATCTAACGAGTTATAAAAATAAAATAACAACTAACAAATTTAAACTACTAAATACAAATTAACATAACAAGATAATTAATAACATTTAGAAAATTAATAACTTAATAAATAACAAAATTTAACTAAAAAAATATAAAATTTATTTAACTAAAAAAAATATAAAAGTTAGGGAGAGAAAGTTTTACTCGATAAATCAAGGATATAGAGCACGGATCCGATCCGATTTTAAGGGAGAAAGATACTCCTTACTTTGTTGAATGCTTTTGAAAAAGATTTAGTGGCATGAGGCGGCGTGGGTGGTCGTTTTTTTGGTCGACGCCGAAAGGAGAGATGCGGTAGAGGTGAGGGAAACAAATGGAGAAGAAGGAGGGTTGTATATAAAGGCAAAATAGCGACGGACCCAAATCCGTCGCTATTCTATCACTATTTTGGGAGAAAATTTCCCTCTAAAATAGCGACGGATCGGCCATCCGTCATCGGCATTTGAGGAGGCAATTCCCCCCCCGAGAGCTAGCGACGGATCGAATATCCGTCATTAACTTTATTAAATAACAATGATTTTAGCAACTCGAATAAATTTTATCACTAATTTGTATTTAGTGACTAAATTTTCGTCGCTAATCCGTCGCCGATTTTGACGTTCTTTTTCCCCACCTTATTTAGCGACGGATGTTTAACCGTCACTAAGTATCCCTCGTAGTTCGTCACTAAGTCATCATAAAAAATATTATTTTATAATCCATTGCTAAATAACGACGAAATACAATCTGTTGCTAATTTTCGTCGTTAATTCATATTTTTCTAGTACTATTGTGTATTACCAACGTGATGTGTATGCTATCTTTCATTTTTTGGTTATTTAGTTAGTAGTTTATTTTATTTATGTTATTTTTACTATCTTATTGTTGTTGTTTTTTGTTTTTTGTCAAGGGTCTAGGCTTCTTTGTTCTCTCATATATTATGAGCTAGGCTGGTTTATCCTCTTTTGTTTTGAAATTTTTTCTTATTAATAAAATCTACAAGGGTACTGCCCCTGTTTGCTCAAAAAAAAAAAAAAAAATCTCTTTGTATGGCTTAAAAATGGTACCCCACTTTGTTTGTTTTCGTTTGTATTGTTTTGTGTGAACATTATTCTCATATATGTTGGTATTAGATAATTGGATTTTAAATCCTTTTTCTGTATTGCAGCACGCTACTCGCATTTGTTGACTCTACGCACAAAGGTATCTTCTTCGCAAATTCCATAAATTAAGGGTATAAATATGTCAATAATACATTGGATGATCTTCACCTGTCTTGAAGAAGAGGAAGAAGAAGAAGAAGAAACAAAGGAACGAAGAGAAGAAGAATGCCATGTAAGTAACTTACGCATTTAACTCCTTTTTTCTTAATTCTTCGTCTTTTCTAATTTGGATCTCTATGCTCTCTCTCTCTTTTTTCGTTTTTCCTTTCCCCACTACTGTACCTTTGTTATATTGATTGGTTTCAACTTTCGAGTTAATTTAATCATGTGCTACCATCAATGTGTATGTGTTTTTCTTGTACCATTCCATTTTTAACCAAATGGAAATTAAACCAGCACTCTTCCTTAATTTTATGCAAGGCATTGCTAAATAAAACAATTATTCAACGCCTCCCTGTGTGGATATATAGAGTTGGAATGTTCATGAACTCACAGGGCTGCTAAGCTCACAGCTCTAAAGTTGCCTAGAAAAAGTATACTACCGACCAAATTCAGTAGGCCACACAATGATTCACACTTGGCTGGACTTTAATGAATTCATAGTCAATAATACAACAACACTTGTGTATGTGGATTGGAAAGGAAAAAATGAGAGGAAAAAAATGAAAAAAAAAAAAATGAAAGAAAAATGAGCCAAGTGGAATTTCTGTGAGGAAGGTCACAGAGGATTCCAGCAGGCTATGAAAGTCAAGGATATCATGATGGCCACCTAAATTATTTGTTATTTGGACTACAGACCCTTATCTCTAGAATTTTCATCCACTCCCGTCATTGCTTAATTTCCTAAAGTTCAGTAGCTTAAACCAGAAAAAACTTAAAAGTACATACACTAAAAATAGATTATCTCAAAGGAATCCAGTAAGCCATGGAAGTCAAAACAAAGCTACTGTTACCAAGAGACAAGGACCCCAAGTAACGCTTTGTCTGCCATCAAAACTAGGCACTTTGTTTTCTCTTTACTCTCTAGTGCTAAATTCTGAGCAAATGGACCAGGACCATCATTACAGATTCCATAGTTTCGATGGCGAAGAATACACGGTACTATGAGAGAAGAAGAAACTGCAAAAGGGTCTAATCTAACGTGTCTTGTTCATGTCATGTGCGTAATATTTGTGAGACTAGCGAGGTGGAAGTGATTTTCAATTTTGATAATGAAGTTTCAATGTTTTGATGATTTGAATTAGGAATTTTGGAATGCGTGAGATAGTTAGTTAGTTAGCAAGTCCACAAATTTGAATTTTGAGTTTGATCAATTGCTAATCACTTGTTATGCCCTTAAACTCGGTTACTAAGATAGATATTGTAATAAGATCAGGGACTGTTGTAGTCAAACATTATGTGTGTCTGTTTCTTACTTTCTTCTGACTTTGCACATGCTTCAATTGGTTCCTCGGCTTCCTTTCCCCTGCCTCAATAAAATCTTTTTTTAAGCAATAGGCCTGCAATGGTTTTATTGATTTAATTAAAATGTTTTTTCATGAAAATCAACGCTTGTACTGGTTGCAGCTTTCCCGATGTTATGGGCACTCGTTCTGTTTTTATTGGTGCCTGCTACTTCAAGCCTTCACGATCGCCAGAGTGGTCCGACCAAATTTAGACACCAAGAGGTAGTGGCACGGCATGGTGCTGTTGCTACTGATGATGGTAGATGTTCAAGGATTGGGATTGATGTTCTTCGTGAAGGCGGACATGCTATTGATGGAGCTGTAGCCGCTGCCCTTTGCTTAGGAGTTGTGAGTCCAGCATCAAGTGGCATTGGTGGAGGAGCCTTTATGCTAATCAGACTAGCCAGTGGAGAGGTGCAGGCCTTTGACATGAGAGAAACTGCGCCAATTCGAGCTTCTGAGGTACTGAGGATTCTAGCAACTTTTTCCTATAACAGACATGATGACCATCTAATTGAGTACAAAATATCAACACAAATAGAGGCATTTCTTGATTTGTTTCCCAATAATTCTGTTTCTTAATATGATTGAAATCTTTTGCACATGCTTTCTCATTCAGGCTATGCATCTTCATATAGCGTTTATCGAATATTTATCACCAAGGAAAATGGGGATACGATGTAGCATGTTGTGCATATTTTTCTTACATTGCTTCTATTATCATAGCATGATGTGCATATTTTTCGTACATTGCTTCTAGTATTGGTTTTGGTACCTTGTGTGAAACCAAGACTCTTCTAGAGATTATACGAAACTTTTTGGCTACAAATTTACTTATCTACTTTTTTTGTTTTGCTTCTGGTTGTTGGGAAAATTGATAGTTTGTAGATTTAGATGTTTGTGTGTTATGCTATGTACCGAATAATTTGTTCACCCATTTCTTTCAGAATATGTATAATGGCAATGCTACTCTAAAAGAAAGCGGTGCCCTTTCCGTTGCTGTCCCAGGAGAACTTGCTGGTCTTTACAAAGCTTGGAAACAACATGGAAGGCTTCCATGGGAAAGGCTTCTAAGGCCAGCTGAGAAGCTTGCTCGCAGAGGATTCAAGGTTTCACGATACCTCCGCATGCAGATGGAAAGGACACAAGCAGGTATTTTGGCGGATAAAGGGCTTCGCAACGTATTTACATCAAATGGTGATATCTTGCAACCGGGCGAAATCTGTTATAACAAGAAACTAGCAGACACATTAAGAACAATTTCAAAAGAAGGAGTGGAGGCCTTCTATAAAGGAACAATCGGATTCAATTTGGTAAGAGATATTCAGAAGCTTGGTGGGATACTGACAATAGAGGACTTGCAGAGATATCAAGTTAGAGTTAGAGAACCGATCAGCACTAACCTCCTAGGCTACAAAATAATCGGAATGCCTCCTCCTTCTTCCGGGGGTGCTTCAATGATGCTTGTAAGTTTACCTCTTCTTGTTTATCTTCTTAATTAGAGAAAAAAAAAATAACACCAATAATCTAGGATTACTGCTTCTTTTGCCTCAGATTCTGAATATTCTCGTTCAGTACGGATTCCCTAAAGGCATTTCTGGCCCCCTTGGGTTCCATCGACTAATTGAATCTTTAAAGCATGCATTCGCTACTAGAATGAATCTTGGCGATCCGGACTTTGCTAATGTTACTCAAGTCATATCAGATATGATCTCTCCAAAATTCGCAGAAGAGTTGAAGAAAACCATTTATGACAACAGGACTTTTGATCCTGTTCATTATGGTGGCAGGTAAGCTCAGTAGCAACTGTAGAATAACATTTATTTCTCTGAATCCTAAATAACGGATTTGTTTTTTTTTTTTCTAATATACAATTCATTTTATGCTCATGGGCAATTGCAAGAACCTGTAAAGTTTTATGTTGAATTGGTGTGCATGATCCCGAAAACAGTGATCAGATGATGGGTAGTTCATCGCTTGAATATGTTATTGATTTTTTTCTTCAAAAGTTACTGGATGCATTTCTAGCTCTTCACATGATTCATTTACTTAGTGGTTCGGAAAATTGAAGACAATGGCCAATTCATTGCTTGATTACGTTATTGAAAACGGCAAAATAGTTCCCTCCAGCTTCTCCTGGCTCCTTACCTCTTCATTATTGTGGCATGTGCTGAAAGATGCATTATAAATTATGCTCGCAATTTATATTCTATTCCTATAATGTGTACCAAGTTCTTGCGTTTTGACAGATGGAACCAGATTATTGATCACGGCACAAGTCATACATCCATCGTAGACAGTGAGAGAAATGCTGTCTCCATGACCAACACCGTGAATGCATACTTTGGGGCACAAATATTGTCTCCAAGTACAGGAATTGTTCTGAATAATGAAATGGACGATTTCTCCATGCCTAGGAACGATACTGGGAATGTTGCACCGCCTAATTTCATCAGGGCAGGGAAGAGACCGTTATCATCTATGGCGCCTACTATTGTGTTGAAGGTCTGTTGCTTTGGGATTTCATTTGCTCAGTTTATAATTGATCCCGTATTTAGTCTTTTAGGAGGTTCCTCATGGCCAATGATTCTTTTTCAGGATGAGAAACTGAAAGGTGTGGTAGGTGCAAGTGGGGGAGCCATGATCATTGCTGGGACTACAGAGGTTTTGTTAAATCATTTTGCCAAGGAAATGGATCCACTCTCTTCTGTCTTGGCTCCAAGGGTCTATCATCAGGTTTTTAATTTATTTAAATCCACGCTGCTCCTTTTTTCCTTCCCTAATTTTAATTGATTTCTAACCTTATTTGATATATGATAAAATGGTATGCCTAAATGCAGCTAATTCCCAATGTAGTACAGTACGAGAATTGGACAACATTGTTTGGCGACCACTTCGAACTACCTGGTGATGTTAGGGCATCCCTCCAGAAGAAAGGCCATGTCATGCAAGGCGTTGCTGGTGGGACCATTTGTCAGTTTATCGTTCAAGACTTAGAGACTACCAAAGCAAATGAACTGAAGGGAAAGCTAATTGGAGTTAGTGATCCAAGGAAAGGTGGGTTTCCAGCTGGTTATTAAATTTGTGTAGAATGCGCAGACCTTTTTATTTATTTCTATTTTTCCTTTAAATTATAAACATCATTGAGATTGGTTAGCTATTGGTAATTGTATCCGCATTTAATTACTTTTTATTCAAAAGTCAAAACAGTCATCCATGTTGCAATACGTGTTGAAAGAGATGTCTGTAATTAGAATGATAAAGTGAGAGGGGTTTTTTCGTACTGTTGACTTTGTAAATAAAGGGAAAATCAATTAAATTTGGTAGCTTGGTGAAACCTTGGCTTTCGTTCCATGGAGCTAAACTCTGATTCTCAGTCACAGGTGGTAGTGTAGCTGCTCAATTCTGCGGCAGAAAGTGATGGCCCTAACCGACCTGCCTAGAGAATGACAAGTTGTTTATTTTTGAAAGCCTCAATCCTGGATTAATTTATAATTTGCTTATAAATTTATTGATTCGGCAAAATAAAAAAATAAATTTATTGAATTTGACCTACAGATAAGGATATTAAAGGATTTGATTTTGATGCCGAGTGCAGGATTTTTTCCTCGAGTAAGGATACATTGAAATCATTTTTTTTTTAACCAAAATAGACTAGTTTTAATCTTATTTGCTAATACAAAGCACTTTAACCTATATAAAGATCACATAAACCTTAATTGAATATGACATGTAAATTAAAAATGCAAGACAACAAAAAGTTAATTAGAAAAATATTATTATAGTAAATATCAGAGATTGATAAATATAAACCATATGTTTTTTTGGGCTAAGGTGTGCATATGAAAATGAAATCAAAAGTACGTGGGTTAATTAGAATTTTCATGGCAGAACATAAAACTTTTTGTCTTTTGAAGTGTTTGGTGGAGAAACAGAAATTTATGTTTTTCTTTTTTCTTTAGTTTTTTTTTTTTTTTTTACCAATAAAATTATGTTATTCTAGGAGACTTACAAACTAAATCATATTTGGTGTATGCTGGGATAAAATTAAGGCTCGGCTACGATCACAGTAGAGGAATAACAACAAAATTTTTGTTCCCTTATCATATTAGTTCCTAATGACTTCATTAGATTGTGCAATACCCGAATTTATTTTTTATGCTTCGTGTGCATATTTATTTTATTAAGTGTATTCATGTTATACTTTTGTTATTATTGATAAGTATTTTGTTTATAAAATTAATGTTGCTAAGTGTTATGTGTGAATAGTAAATTAATTGACAAGTGAAAGACTTAAAAAATAGGGTTTAATTAAATAATTCTCATACATGTATAACTTAGAATTTAAATTTAATTAGTGATCTAAACATGTATTAATCTAAAAAATAATATCCTAATTAGGAGTTCCACCTAAATTAAATGTCTAAGTGTAAAACATCCTTCTTAGGACATGTACCTTATTAAGGTTATTTTGATCCAAAAGTTTTGACCTAAAGAGGGAAATAAAGAGGGGAAAACTTGCTTATCTTTTCATTTGAGATTTCAATTGCTTTCGCCCATCTTTGTGAGCTAAAATGTAACCCCCACAAAACCCCTTAACTTCATAGCTATATGTACTCGAAATATTTATATTGGCATATACCGAGTCTCTATGTGATTACTATGCCATTTTCATATTTTGTGATGTGCACAATGTGTAGTGTTTATGTGAGGCTTATAGGGTGTATATCGGGTAACCTAACTAATTATCATTTATTTCCTTTAACATATAACGAACGTATTATAAAGTGAAACAAATTATTTAAGGGGTGGAGAGTGCCGAAATGTGGAAAAAGTCAAAATAATAATAAGAAGAAGAAGAAGAAGAAGAAAATATTTTTTTTAGGTATGTCGAAATTTTAATTCTCGAGGAAAATATCTCCTAGACTTCATAATTATCTATTGGATGTGGGTGGAATTTATGAGACATCTTTCTTTTATATTTTATGGTCTTAAAAGATCTAATATTAATGAAAGTGTTTATAGGAATAACTCGTTAGGTATTTAGTTAGTCATTATTTATTATTCCCATAACAAATATCTAAAAGACCATGCAAGTGAAAGAATCTCCTAAACATGGTGCATGGGTCGAGTTTTGGGAACCAAATGACCTTAGGAAGTTGGTTAATTTAGTTACCTTTAGTTACCCTTTGTTAGTTCCTAGGTGGACACCTAATCTTCCACCATGTTCCAATTTGTGCCACCTCACCATTTTTGGAAGTCAAACCCGCCACTTGCCTCTCCATCATTTGATATTTTCTACCATGAACTTTTGACACATGTAATACTCATAACTAAGAGGAAAAGTGGTATAAAAGTGTAAGAAAGATGCCTACTTGGCCATTTTTGTTTAGACAAAACCATAGCTACCAAAAAGAAGGAAAGAAATGGACTTGAGAAGGGAGAGAGATGGAAAAGAAGGAAAAAGAAAGAAAGAAGAAAAAGAAAAAGGGAAAGCTTAGGCAATCTTTAGGAAAACTAAAGCAAAGTAAGTAGGTTCATGTTAATTTATGTTATGCTCTAAATTTCTTGTATTTATGCTTACATGAGGTGGTTGGTGAATGCTTTCTATTGTATTGTTTATGTTGGTTTATGTTGATTATGTTTGTGATATGTGTTAGATGGCTTGATGTCCATTTAGTGGGAAACTTTATGGTTGGTTTGTACATGTGTGATGATGGATGGTTGGTATGTTGATGTATCCATGTGAGATCTATGTGTGATGTATATTTAAATGTGTGTGGATGGGTTTGTTTTGAAAGGGTTTGGTTAAAACAAAATGAGCTTGCACATCTTTAAGGGAATCATTTGGCCTAGGTACCAAAATGGCCAAGTTTGGATTTCTTTTATGGAACTAAAGATTTAGAACTCCATGGCAACCCAATGAAGTAGAAAGTAGTTAGTTAGGGTGAAAAGAAATGATATAAAAACAAAAGACAATCATTTGCCTTTTTAACACCCCATTCGGCCTAAACCTAAAAATTTGAGCTTTGAGTTTCACTTATCCAATTGGTGAATCAATGATTCAAATGCACCTAAATAAGTATAAAATGAAGCATAGAAAGGTTAGAATCTAAGAAAACAAAAATTTCAGAGTTAGACTAGGAAACAATCGACCTAAACCCTCCATTTTTAGAACTTGAGTTCCAAGCATCCAACTCCGTAATAATGGGCCAATTACACTAAATAAGTATAAAATGAAGTGTTAGAAGGGAAAGAATGCAAGAAAAATCAAAATTAAGACCTAGATCTAGTAGAAGCAAAATTCAACTATTAAGGATCAATTTCGAGTTAGAAGGGAAATCCCACTTTAAATACGCTACAACACATTCCTAGGGCTCAATTACGAAAATTGATTAACCCTAATAGATGGGTCTTGTATTCCTTTTGTGACCATAATGATTTCAAATGTGGTATGAAAATGAAGGGTTTGGTACCCATGGTTTGGTGAAATGTGGTAAACAAAACATCACGTGCATCACATGCATTTGGGGATGGTTTGACTTGAGAAAAATATTCGAGTCGAAAAATGATGAGGTTCGATAACCGACTTAGTCCGGAAATTGGATAGCTTTAGTAACCTAATTGGATTAAATGGGTATTAGTAATGAAGCTATGTGCGTGCTCTCTTAATTGATTACACCGTTAGGCGGTGGATAATTCCGCTAATCGTGTGCTACAATGAGGGATAATTCCGTTGCTAGCAGTAGGTGATTTGATAATCACCGAGAAATGAGAATAGAGCGGACTTGCTAATACCTAGTGGTATCCGAATTAAATTCAAAGAGCAAAGACCGAATGATAGGATTGCATTACATCTCACATACGTCACCCTACTTACTTAGCTTCGACTCACATTTTTATTATTTCATGCCATGACAAGTAAAAGCGATGGTAGTACGTGTAACGCCCTCGTCCTAGTCATATTTCTACTACCCAAGTAAAGTACTAGACGAAGCGCGTTACACCGACATACCCTAAACTCTAAGTAGTTCTCTTATGATATTTTTAAAACTTTAACAAGACATTACGTATATAACTCCTTAAGATAAAATTTACATCACATAATTAAATATATTAATAAAACATTACGTACAATATTCAATTTCTCACGAACTCCATACCCCAAATTTACGGATAAAATAAAAACTAATATATGGTGCCTCACATGAGCCAATTAGGAGGAGCCAGCCGCATCCATACCAACTTGTCATTTTTCCGTCACAACATAAAAATAACAACGGGGTGAGCCGAAGCTCGGTAAGTAGGGTGATGCACGTGATATGCAATGTTGTTTTGACTTCCCACCATACTCATAAATTTTAATCTCGGGTACCACAGGTATTAGCCGATCTACTCTATTTATCATCCGGGTGGTCCGCGATCACCTTCTCGCTACCACGGAATTATCCCTCGTTGTAACTACCGTTAGCGGAAATCCATCGTCTAACGGTGCAAGCACATAGCTTGATTTCATCCGGATGATCCTCGGATCATCTTCTGCTACAACGGAATTATCCTTTGTTGTAACTACTATTAGCGGGAATCCATTGTCTAATAGTACGAGCACACGACCTAGAGTACTCGGACTACTAATACCCATTTATTCCAGTTAGGTTATCAAACCTAAATGTATAAACCATTTCTCAATCAATTGACTTGTCTTAAACAACCCACTATGCACATGATGCATATGATGACATATGTAATCACATTCAACCAAATTCGGGTACCAACCCTTCATTCTCATGCCATATTCACGGTCTAATCCACACTCGGCATTTACCTATTGCTCACATACCAATCATGATACTCATAGCGGGAACACAACCTCCACTCATTAATATTGTTCATTAGTTTCATTAATATTTAAAAGAAGGTCTAACTCCATTTACTTTAATCCAAGCCCATTAACTTTATCCCGAGTCCATTTACTTTATTCAATTCCATTTTATTTAGTCCAAGCTCATTTAGTTTATTCCAAACCCATTAATTTTGTCCAAGTTTAATTCTTTGGTTTTAGGGTTTATTACCGGGTAAC